TCATCGTCACATAAATACGATTAACGCACAATAATCTATTAATTAAGGTGACGAGGGTGAACGCGGATACCGAACTTCCGGCAACGCTAAGTACGTGACTAAAACAAAAGTTACTTTGCATTTAATAACATGATTCATGATTTCATAGCTTTTGCCCGGGACTCCGTCTGTGCGGATAAAAAAAAATTTGGAAATTGGCCTATGTGTTCTTCCAGACAATGTTCTACATCTATGACTTTTGTCGATATCCATTAAGCCGTTTTGAAGATACGTAATAACAAACATCCATTCATCCAACCATCCAAACTTTCGTATTTATAATATTAGTAAGTTTACTACAGAAATATGGAACATTCTAAGAGTATTCAAAGAAATCTGAGTGATGTGTTAGAAGGCTTGTCGTTGTAGCAAAGAAATATATATATTTTTTAATTTCACAGACCCTGTAAAACTTATCTTTTATATTTTATATCAAAATTTTAAATAATAAAAACATAAAAATTCTCAATAGCGTCAAATTTAATTCAACATCCATAAATTCTTGTAAGAGGAAAAAATTTGATTCGCGAAGCGCACTCTAGTCAGCGAGTCAGGCTTGTTCATTTAGCCGCCATGTTGAAGATGCCCTCTTTAGGTTGACTACGCTATTCTGTTATATGATATTTATACGTATAGTTAAACCGTTATGTATAATAAGCATTGTTTTTTTATTTAAATGAGTAACAAAAAGCATAAAATTTTCAGTCAAATTATTTACACAAGTTTATTAAACCTACTGAGAAAATTCAGACAATATTTGAAAGTCTATTTACAAATTTTCATCTCTTTACTAATAAAATTTTCTCATTTTACAGTTACTTCCTGCAACAATATAAGTCTCTCTTGAGAAATACGATATAGTAGGCCTCGTAAATAAAGTTGCCGGGTGTCGAATTCTAAATTCTGAGCAAACGTAATCCCCAATACCGTATACATACTTCACATCGTGAGATAAACAGAATATTATGTACATAATTCTTCTGGATATTGGTTTAAAATAACAATTGCTACGACAACTTAACTTTGTATTAATATTACTAATATTATAAATGCGAATGTTTAGATGGATGAATGTTTGTTTGAAGGTATCTTCAAAACGACTGAATTTATCTAGCTGAAATTTGGCATACATGTAGAACATATTCAGAGGAAGACATAGGCTACATAATAAGTTTTTTTTTAATTCCGCGTGGACGGAGTCGCATGCTACGTTAATTACGAGAAAGTAAAATAAAAAAAACATGTATTTAACATAATTATGCACTTAAATACTACTTAATTTTTTTTTTACGTTTTATAAGCTAGCGCTTGACCACGATCCCACCTGGTGAAGTGGAGATTTGGTCGAAAGATGGTACGCGCTAGCTTAGTAAGTGCCTATTAAAAATATAATAGAAAAATTGTAACTAACAAATACTACGGCTTAAATCATTAATCCAATTACGACTCAGAGCAGATTAAGATTAGACTTGCCTGACTGTCTGTCTGGTTATAAATTAATAGGATTTGTTTTGTTTTATCTAGAACTAATTGTCAGTATTTTCAAACAAGATTTTAGTGTTACAATCACGTTATTACCTGCAAATAAGAGTAGAAACAAAATAATATTTATATAAAATAATTTAACTCAAAACGTAAAACTTTTTAACTTAATTATTGTGATCAAGTACGTTGTCTTTAAAATAGATCTTTTTAAAAACACAACTTAAAAAATCTTAAACAATCTCCATATAAATCTCGACTTTCAAGTAAAACAGCTCGAGTTCAAGAATCTGCAAAATTGGACGTGTTCCACTTCTCTCTATTTCCTATTTGATTCCGCTTTCAATTTGTTACCCCATAGATACAAGATGTTCAGCCCTTTATATTATATTTTATCTGCTCCTAAATTTTACTAACGTTTGCAGAATTTTAAGTACTACGTTTAGATTTGTTTTATGAATTAAACAGTACCTAAGTGTAGATTTCTAATATTAAATCAACATTTAACAATCCTGAATATTGTTCAACGTATCTTCACCATAACACAAATATTTCGCTAATCCATGTTTCTATAGAACATACTTTCCTTTGAAAATCAACAGGGAAGCCAAATCAAAGTCATTCACAACAGTGAATGAAAAGCAAAGTATTTGAAGTTAATGATTTCCGCTCCTCAAAATACAGAGACGTAATTAAAACATTCTTTTCTTTTATTTTCGACCGAGCGGCCACCTGAAATCGCTGAAATAGCGAAGTGACCGTTGCCCTTAGACTTACGCAATTGCATATGCTTTGCCTACCTTCAATCTACGGAGGAGAGGATGCACAGAAATATTTCCCCTTTCCATGCATCCTCTCATCCGGAAAGTCCACTTCCATTTCCCATACTTTCCTTATAAGAAAAAGGGTGGGAAGGGAAAGAGGACTAAATTAGGCCTCCGGGACGCACACTCATCAGACGAAACGCGGAATTGCATCCACTTCACGCCTGTCTTCTGTGTGGTCGTGGTATTTCACCGGGCGAGCCTGGCCGATTCGTGCGAAGACTTTAAAGCGGGCTCTACCACTGTTACACTTTCTTTTTACACAAATAATATTAACAATACAATAAACTTATAACAATTATATGTATTGGTATATTGCGAGAAACTTCTCATTCGTACAGAGAAGGCGTATTTATAAATAATGCGATTAAGACGTCAGATTAAATTCATTAGTGAGAGGGGATAAGTGGCAATGGCTAACTCCAGCCGGCTCCCGCGGGAAAATGCCCTAATTCACTGTTTAGAAATACATTGTTATTCGATACAACGTTCTTATTTCTTACTCATTATATAAATGAAAATTTGTATGGATAGATGTATGGATGTTTTATCATCAGCCTGTACACATCATGCGTGTCTCTATGGATTATTGTTATCGCGTAATTTCAAATTGATGAACACACATCTACACGGATGAAGTCGCGAGCAACCACTAGTATTTAGTTAAATATTTTGGGATAAAAATTTGTTATTATCTTTGACTATGGCCTAGTCACCCTTGATTTAGGTTACGCTCCGAGCTCCTCGGTGGGGACGCATAGTAAGCTGATGATGATGATCTATAAATTACTGTGGTAGAGTTACTTTGGTGGTTTCATATTATACAATAGATTAGTGGTAGAGTCTAAAGTTATTTTAAATCACTAACCCACCATGTGAATGTGAAATGTGCAGTTAATTTTTAAACATTTTACTGAGCACTAGACGCTAAGCACGTGTATTATACACGTGCCAAGTGTCCGTCACACTGCGTTGCCTTCAAAATGAACAACTCGAGAACGGAGTGCGGAGTAGTAATGAGTAGTATTGTTTATGAAAATAGTATTCGTTAATTGTAACATTGTACAATGTTAATTAAGGGATGTTACTATTTTTACATCAATAACATAACACTAATTAAATAAGACTGAATAAGTTTTTGTATGAAATAGCGCCATCTATTGTTTATGCGATTAAAACATGTTTTTTACTAACGTACAATTATATTTGTCACGTTCACGTTATGTTTTGTGTTGATGTTATATACCGTATAACATTCTGGGGAAGATGATTCGAATGACAGCATACTTGTCAAAACCGGTTTAGTCGTTTAGACTGTAGACAGACACAGTATAGTTTACATAAAACGTAATGAATTCCATTTGCATATATTGTTTTAATATTAGCAGATTTTTTTGTAAATTTACTAGAGTTTCTTTTACCATTCCAACTAAGCTCTAGGCTTGTGCTAGGATATGGTTGACAATAGTCGAATGGCGGGATTCGAACAACCCGACCTCATGGTCGGAAATTAGGCTATTGACGCTTAACCATTAGGATATTGACGCTTGATTTTCAGCGTATCTTCTCATATTCAAGAGAGTAATATTCAGTACTACAGTATTCTATTTTGTTTTGTTAAGTTTAAAACCATCTTCTGTAAATAAAATCGCATTGAGTTAATGCAAGACCTCTTTACTACTTTCCAACATTGATACGACTTAGAATCAGCCACTTTGTTCGCATATTGCCAACGACTTTTATTATGTAAATGCGATGAGTAACCCAACTATACTTATTCAAATAAGATAGAAAATAAAATATGCCCCAATGTTATTTCATTTTTTTTAATTCGGTTCTTTCCGCATTTCACTTGTAAAAACTGTTTATTTTCCTGCTATTTTTATACATTTAAAAATAATATATTTCCGGTTATTTCAAAGCAATTGTGTGCTTTTCAATTTTAAGCTCACATGTTGGAGACCCGCCAGGCGCAGGTCCGGAATGGACTTTAAATTTAATAGAACAAATTACGACACTGCATTGAAAAGTTTTTCTCATAGAAATAAATTAAAACGTTTAATTTTTTTGCTAAATAATTATGCAGATAGCTGTAAAATTGGTCTATTTCTATCTATTTAAATCGTTTGTTAATTTTATTTGTTCAAAATATCACGTAGGTTTCTTTACTAGTAACACTGAAAAAGTTCTAAGCTTGATTTTTGTCCATAGATGGCGCTACTGTTAGGAATAGAACACGGTAATGTTTTGTCAACGTGGGAGTATTTTAAGCAATATCACGTGACACATGACGATCGAGGCTTAGGCTAAGTGCCAACGGCGCTCGGCCACCTCAGGCCCGGTGAAGCTGTAAATGCCTCCTCAAGGCAAACAGTGGCCATTCAATCGAAAAAAATACATGACGAATAGTAGTCATTTGATCCTCTGGGGAGTTAGACAAAGTTCATTGAAAGATAAAATTAGAAAAAATGCATAGAACTGATAATAACATTCGATAAGTCACGTGGTTGCCGCGCGTCAGTACCATACATTTTTGAAGTTCGCTATAGAATCGCTTCGAAGCGAATGCATTTTGTCTAACCCTTCCGCTGTTGTCATTGTAAGTAAATTATTAAATTGTCGACTTACTTTTAATATGATTTTGTTTTGTTTCAGGTAGCGCCGAACATAATAGAATTTATCAAATCCCCAGTTAATATAATAGACTTTATCGCAACGTTAAGTTTTTACATGGACGTTGTTGTAGAATTAACTGTAGTGAAAAGAAATATTGATAAAGCGGACATTTTAGAGTTTATTTCTATTATAAAAATCCTGAGACTTTTTAAATTGACGAGACACAGTCCGGGTTTAAAAATTTTAGTACATACGTTTAAGGCGTCTGCTAAAGAGTTGACCCTTCTAGTGTTTTTCTTAGTTCTAGGTATTGTGATCTTTGCAAGTTTAGTATACTATGCGGAGAAATCTCAGGTGAGTCTTAAAAATAATTGTTATATTTTACTATCGTATTTTGTTTTTTCATAAAACGGTTTTGTTGGTGAGTTTATTTCACTGATTGTTTATTTCTACAAATTTGATTGCAAATATCGGTCCATTCGTTGAATGCGAACGTTTTATAAATGGCAGTGGAAATGCATTTTTATATTCGTAACAGGCCGGAGCGACCGAGCTCGAAGTTAATTGCCTGTCAATTACGCACCGGCGAAAACTTTCGTCTCGCTTGAAATAAATTATGCCTCAATTTTGATGACAAACATACTTACTGTACTTTAGTCAGCAATTAAAAAATAATTTCCAGTATATTTATCTTGTTAAATATTTGTCAAGCTTAACTATACAACTGTATTAACTAAATTACATTAAATTCCAGGATAACCCAGACAATCAATTCAAGTCAATCCCATTAGGACTGTGGTGGGCGATAGTTACCATGACAACTGTAGGATACGGTGATATGGCGCCGAAGACGTATCTAGGCATGTTCGTGGGCGCGCTCTGTGCGTTGGCTGGAGTCTTGACTATCGCACTACCAGTTCCAGTGATCGTCTCCAACTTCTCAATGTTCTATTCACATACACAGGTAAGATAGTGTTGAACTTGATATATGGAGCAGGCACATGATTACAAATGTGGGCTACCGTTGCCGCAATCATCATCAGCCTACTGAGTGGCTCGGAGCGTATCCTAACCAAGAGTTTACTAGGCTTTCGTCAACTTCGATATGTTCAGGTTGCATTACATGTTTACATTTGTAAAAGCTATTGGAAATATCTTGATCCTGTCTGTGCTTAGCGTAAGCCTTTGCAGTTTTTTTTTTTTAATATTCATAAATATTTAATAAAAAAAATACAATATTTGACCTTTAAGAATAAGTATAAAGGCGTGAATATACTTTGAAAAGTAAACATCATCAATCATAAGATGTTTTTTTGGCAATTTAACTCAATGACTTTGCGTTTTTACAAAGGTGTCAAGTATTACCTATTTTCCTTAGAACTCCAATACCATATCCATTTCCAGACATATTTTATAAAAGTTAGAAATAAAAAATATATAATTTAATACTTGAAAATTCAAACTACTACATTGAATGGTTGTCTAAATTAGTCCAAATATTTTAATAATATACGATACTAGCGGACCCGACAGACGTTGTCCTGTCTACACGTCTTTAATTCGAATATTATTTAAAATTTGACACTGCGATGGTAGCGCCGTCTGTCGGATCCAATGTAAAACATTCCAAAATCAACAACT